TTGAGGGGTAGATGAAGAAAATTGCTTTTAAACAGTTGCATCAATGTCACTTGATCCTGACAGATGAACATCACCCATCTCAAAAAAAAGAAAGAAAGAAAAGCAAGATATGAGGAAAGGACATATGGATTGTATATATATAGAGAGAGAGTTAGAGCTCTGATAAGAACTTGTGACAAGTTATGTGAGACATATAGTAAGTTAGAGTAGTCTAAAAGGGAAAATGAAGGAATATATTGAATTATTTGGATGGATGTGCTAATGTAATTGAGGTTGACATACTAACAAATTCATCAATAGCTGTTAAAATGTCTTCTTTGTCTACTTAGTAAACTGAAAAAAAATAGCTCTGTATATTTCTCCCCCTTTTCTGTCTGGGATATTCAATACTTAAATTGATCGACTGTGTTTAGGCTTGGAAAAACCAAATATATGAACATTGATTTATAATGGGAAAGATCAATGGTTTTAAGACTTGGTGGGATCTCATCCAAGTGAATGAAGCAAAAGAAATGTCAAATACTGTGTTCGTGTGTGGCCTTATGTTTGGACTTCATTTCAATACCAGTCAGAAAAGAGAGCCTCCTTTATCGGTAAACCAATATAATGTCAATATCTGTGCTTCTTCCAAATATCCTGAGAAATATCGGACAAGAACGATGAGAATATTCTGTCCATGGGAGACAGGTGGAAGTGCATCATATACATGCATTTCGTTTCATTCTTCATTATTTTATTATTTATTTATTTAGAAATTTTGTATATCGCTCTTCTCACCTCCATCGAGGGACTCAGGCCAGTTTCCAACAACAATATCACAAACAATCATTAAAAACATCATATTCCATATTACACTAAAACATTAAAATAGCAAAATACAGTCATTTATTATTATTATTATTATTATTATTATTATAATAACTTTATTTGTACCCCGCTAGCATCTCCCAAGGGATTCGATGCAGCTTACAACAGGCCGGAGCCCAACACAATACAACAATACAATACATAGCAAATAAAAAAGTTAAAGCAGAAAACAATAGCAATAGCAATACAACAGGACATTATTAAAAACTGAGCCGGCTGGAGTAGGGTACAGGATTAAAAAGTGAGGGATATGGGATTAAAATATAAGTGCAGTGTGCGGTGAGGGTGATCTTGACTCTACTAAAGTGCTTCTGGGCTTTGGTAGTGGGGTTCCTAATCTGAGAAGTCACGTTGGAACAGCCAGGTTTTCAGGTTCTTTCTGAAAACCTCCAAAGTAGGGGCCTGTCTGAGATCTTTCGGGAGGGCATTCCAGAGGCGGGTAGCCACCACAGAGAAGGCCCTGTCCCGCGTCCCCACCAAACGCGCCTGCGACGCGGACGGGATCACGAGCAGGGCCTCTCCTGATGACCGGAGTGAACGTGTGGGTTCGTAGACTGTGATGCGGTCACGCAGGTAGGGTGGTCCCAAACCGTTCAGGGCTTTGTAGGTAAGCACCTGCACCTTAAATTGGGCTCGGAAAATAAACGGCAGCCAGTGGTGCTCCTTATACAGGAGGGTTGACCTCTCTGTAAGGAGCCCCAGTTAACATCCTGGCTGCTGCCCGTTGGACCAATTGGAATTTCCGAGCCGTTTTCAAGGGCAGCCCCACGTAGAGCGCATTGCAGTAATCCAGTCTAGAGGTGACTAAGGCATGGACCACCCCAGCCAGATCAGCCTTAGCGAGGTACGGGCGCAGCTGGTGCACAAGTCTCAGTTGTGCAAAAGCCCTCCCGGCCACCGCCGATGCCTGAGCCTCAAGCGTGAGCGATGAGTCCAGGAGGACTCCCAAGCTGCGGACCTGTGGCTTCAGGGGGAGTGTAACCCCGTCCAACACAGGTTGCCACCCTATACCCCGATCTGGTTTACGATCGACCAGGAGGACCTCTGTCTTGTCGGGATTGATCTTCAGCTTGTTCGTCCTCATCCAGATAGACACAGCGGCCAGGCACTCGTCTAGCACCCGAGAGGCCTCCTTGGAATTAGGTGGAAAAGAGTAGTAGAGTTGTGCGTCATCTGCGTAGAGATGGCACCCAACTCCAAAACTCCGGATGACCTCTCCCAGCGGTTTCATGTAGATGTTAAAAAGCATGGGAGATAAAATAGAGCCTTGCTTCTTTCAAATATCCTGAGAAATATCGGACAAGAACAATGAGAACATTCTGTCCATGGGAGACACGTGGAAATGCATCATATACATGCATTTCATTTCTTCATTATTTTATTATTTATTTATTTAGAAATTTTGTATACCGGTCTTCTCACCTCCATCGAGGGACTCAGGCCGGTTTCCAACAACAATATCACAAACAATCATTAAAAACATCATATTCCATATTACACTAAAACATCAAAATAGCAAAATACAGTCATATAATTATAATGGTCAGTCATCACAATAAAATCGTTGTTCATCATCATCCATCCATATCGCAGGATATTGACTCACTCGTCGAATGCCAGTTTCCAGAGCTAAGTTTTTACCTGTTTTCTAAACATCAGGATAGAAGGGGCAGTTCTGATCTCCAGTGGAAGGGAGTTCCAGAGCCGAGGGGCCACCACCAAGAAGGCCCTGTCCCTCGTCCCCACCAGACGCACTTGTGAGGCTGGTGGGACTGAGAGCAGGGCCCCTCCAGACGATCTTAACAATCTTGATGGTTCATAGGGGAGAATACGTTCAGACAGGTAAACTGGGCCGGAGTCGTTTAGGGCTTTATAGATTAACACCAGCACTTTGAATTGTGCTCGGAAGCTAATTGGCAGCCAGTGGAGCTGGCGCAACAGAGGAGTAGTATGCTCCCTGTACCCCGCTCTTGTTAGTAGTCTGGCTGCCGCTCGTTGTACTAGTTGGAGCTTCTGGGCAGTCTTCAGAGGCAACCCCACGTAGAGAGCGTTGCAGTAATCTAAACGGGATGTAACCAGAGCGTGGACCACCGTGGCCAAGTCAGACTTCCCAAGGTACGGGCGCAGCTGGCGCACAAGTTTTAATTGTGCAAAAGCTCCCCTGACCACCGCTGAAACATGGGGCTCCAGGCTCAGCGATGAGTCCAGGATCACTCCCAAGCTGCGAACCTGCGCCTTCAGGGGGAGTGTAACCCCGTCAAGCACATTATGTGAATGAAAGCACCCCATGTCTTTTTTTTCTTTTCTACCAGTTAGCCGAGAAAATAAGAGTGTTTGAACAGTTCAAAAGTTTTTGTTGTTGTTTGGAATACAATGCAATTTGCATGAAAGAACTCGATGCAAAATATTTTGTATTTGCAAAGTGGGAATGCCACTCTCCCCCCCCCCCCAATTGATTTGTATCTGTGTGGACTCAATGAAGCCATGGGTTTGTATACCTTCACAGGCGCAATTGCTGGGGACGAGGGAGAGGGCCTTCTCTATGGTGGCCCCCCAACTCTGGAACTGGGGGAGGGCACCATAGAGTGTGCATCCAAGAAACTAAACAGGCTCTGGTAATGAGGGCGCCCTAAAACACACTAGCTGAGCAGGGAGCCAGGCAGCCCAATCAATAACCTACTGCCTGCTTGTGATAAGGAGGGGAGGCTAAGGAAAGAAGCCCCCCCCCCCCCCCCCAGAAAGGAAGGGAAGAGAACTAGATTCCCTTGTGCTAGTCTGGTGCTAGTGTGGCCCAGTGAAGGGAAACCGGGCCAGGAGGGCAACCAACCACCTGTTCTATTGGCGGTGGGGTTGAGGGGCGGCACCGCTACACCCCTGGTGGCAGGCCCCAGCCCTAACCGGGCCAACAGCCGCTGCTACGAGGAAGTGAGCATGTGGAGTTGTCACCATCAATTTGTACACATTGTGCCACTGGTTAACGCAGGCATCAAACCGTTTTGGAAAAATTCAGGGTTTTCCTTCGTGACTCATGATTTTAAAGCTGTGTGAACATATTCAAGTCTTTGAATCTGAAACCGAGTTGGTTGTTGTACAGTGGTGCGCGAACCAATTGTACAGGTGTGGATGATTATGGAGGGAATTAATCTCAGGCCTCAATTGTGTATAAGAATATATTATAGAGGAGGCCAATTATTACTTGTAAATTAAGGTAACTGCCACCAACGTGAGGTATTTGAGGTACCACCGATGAGATCTGGCTTTACAGACACAGATTAATTGAGATGAGACGGTCTTCAACAGAAGATAATAAGTTTATTGTGTACAAAGCGTATGGTTGCAGGCTGTTAAATAACTTATAGAACTTTGAATATAACTTGGTTTGTAATACAGTCCACTCTTCCAAATAACACAGCTCGTGGCTAACTTTTACTGAGGTGAAGCTCTTTAGTGAACAATGTTTCCTACTATGAATAGCCTTCCAATTTGATCTTTCCTTGATCAAATCTCTGATCTCTAGTCCTTCCTTGACTAGGGATCTTAACAAGCTTCCTTTAGTCTTCCTTGACTACAGAAACTGGCCAGGTTTCTCTCTTCAGCCCTTCTAGACTGAAAAACCTCCAGCTGCTCACACGCACCTCTCTCCCAGGCTTTTTAAACCTCCACACTCTCTCACACACTCTGCCCCTTTTTCCAAAGATGCACATAACTTTTTTTGCTTGGCTCCGCCCACTTCTCACTCTCCTGAGCTAGCCTGCCTGGTCTCCTTGGCAACACTCACTGTGGATTCAAACCAGATAACTCTAGTTTTAGCTACTGTTACAAACACAAATATATACTCTAACAGTTAAACACATACATAGTATCAATGACTTCTGCACAGTTGTCTTTCAGAAATCTAAACACGTCAAAGTCTTTGCCTCAGATTCTTGGTTCTAATCCATCAATTGGAAAAAGGAAAGAGTGGATGAGTAGAGTAAGGTGACCTCTATCATATTATGCATAGCAGTCCAGTAGCTGGGAAAGAAATTAAAGTTAGAGCAATGGAGGCATTACTTTTTGACCTACCCTTGTGTATTAAAAATATGTTGGGTTCCCTTGCATTCATTTCTCACCATTTTCCTTTCCTTCCATAGGTTGTAGACAATGACAAACCAGAAGGTTCCAAATTCCGGATTTTCGGGAAAGGAGTGGAACAGGACCCAAAGGGAGTTTTCAAAATTGTTGAGAGCACCGGAGAGGTCCTTGTGACGCGATCCCTCGACAGGGAATCCATTGCCACCTACCAGGTAAGTTGTTGTTACTGCTTCCTTTACTTCCAATGAACTTTATGAAAGCAATATCCTATGTTTTAGTGTTGATGTGATGCACTGCCTATGGTCTTGCCTGCAATGCACTCATATTGATTGAATATTCTTGGTATAGGCAAAACTTGGTATAGGCAAAATATTCTTGGAATATTCTTGCATAGGCGAAACTTAAGAAAATTGAAGAGTTTGAACAACATTATTTCACAAGGAGTAATTCAATGACTTTGGCTGAGTTTCTTCCTTCATTATTACAAGCAGTAGTTGTGGGAAAGGAAACTGGTGTGTTTTGTGTCTTGAAGTAGTCTTTCGCCAGCATCTCATTCATCAACAGTACCTAAATTCCACCCAATGGACTTTACAATGTTTTTGTGATATCCTTGTGTGGTCAAGAATCATGTTGAATTACTTGGGAAGTGCAATATTTCTGATCAAGGAAGTGTGGATCAGGTCCATTCAAATGAGAATGAGAAAGGAGTAAATAGACCAAACATCCCTACAGAGAAGGCATAGGCAAACTTCGGCCCTCCGGGTGTTTTGGACTTCAACTCCCACAATTTCTACCAGCCTACCAGTCCAAATACCTGGAGGGCTGAAGTTTGTCCATGCCTGCTACAGAGCGTAATACAGAATTAGATATAGTAATGTAGAAGGGATCTACCATTGGACTATGAGTCTGGATATCTGGGTTCAATTCCCTGCTTGTGATGGAGAGGAAATATGCCATTTCCTATCCAGCCACACTTACAGATGGTGAGATCAATGAATTGCTTACCTGGATTTCAGCTACAATGGTCCTATTTCTCTTTCTTGGGCTTCTGTGGCACTGCACGCCTTTGCTCCATCTCCAGATAGTAAATGCAATGACCCTCTGGCTTTGGCAGGTGAGCTGCATTGAGCTACATGTGTAGAACATTATTCTCCGCATCTCCATTCTAGGATTTTGAGCTCCAAAGACTGCAATAAATACTTGATAAAGAAGATGTACTTTGTGTGAAGTGATAATGGTCCAGCTTAGAACGCTGTGTTTCCATCATCTCTTATTTGTTGTTAGATGATCAGTAAAGAAAACATGCAGTCCAGGAGACAAGCAAGCATTGGTTTTATAAAACTCCTGGCTGAATGAATTTTGCGTTTTTTTCTATAGTCATTGGAATAGACCCAACACAAGGATATGCAACCCCCCCCCCAAAAAAAAAAAAAAAACAGACAAGGAAAGTGAAACACAAGATGTTCATTGGGTTGTTGTAGGTTTTTCCGGGCTATATGGCCATGTTCTGGAGGCAATTTTTCTCCTGACGTTTTGCCTGCATCTATGGCAAGCATCCTCAGAGGTAGTGAGGTCTGTTGGAAGTAGGAAAAATGGGTTTATATATCTGTGGAATGACCAGGGTGAGACAAAGGACTTTTGTCTGCTGGGGCTAGCTGTGAATGTTTCAGCTGATCACCTTGATTAGCATTCAATGGCTTGGAAGTGCCTGGGGGGAATCTTTTGTTGAGAGTGATTTTATGTGCCTGTTTGTTTCCCCTCTGTTGTTTTGCTGTTGTAATTTTTGAGTTTGATCATCAACTCAGATGATCATGAGATGATCATTTCTAGGGAGTATTGTGTGGCAATAAGGCAAAATTCTTTGGACCATGTAATGTTGAATCTTGTTCTGTCTGCAATGGTTTCCCATTTGTTTCTGGGTACTGGATGTCATTTGTAAAACTCTGAGTGGCATAGTTCCAAGTTATCTTCTTTTTATCATCTTTGTTGCATAAATTTTGAATAACAATACATAAAAATATGGGGTAAAATATTGGGGGGGGGGATCTGGGATGATGAAGGAAGAGGTAAATAAAGTGAGAAAAAAGGGAAAGGAATGAAGAGGGGGGGGAGAGGAAAAGAGGAAAAAGAGAAAGGGGAGGGGAAGATTGGGGGGGGGACAGCTTTGTCTTCTGGTCCATTCCACAGAGAGTTTTCCATTTCTTCTTAAAGTTCTCATGGTACACAACATAAACTAATCTATCTGTATTGTGAGTTTTCTTTCCTGGAGATAATCTTTAAATGAGTTCCAGTCTGTCCTACATCTATCTTTCTGCTCCTGTAATAGAAGGAGTCCAAGTCCATATAATCCAGTATTTTTGTTATCCAGGTATCTATCGATGGGATTTCTCTCGTGTGCCATTTCTGGGCTAGTAATGTTCTCGCTGCAGTGGTCAGATAATAAAATATTTTATCATTTCTCCCTATCCCAAAGTCTGTTAGATTTAGTAAATAACTAGCTGTCCCCTGCCACACGTTGCTGTGGCCCAGTCTGTTGATCTGGAAAATAAAGTAATGAGAAAGTGTTGGTTTCAAATATATGTAATGTCTTGATGCTTGTGGGTAAACAGTATTTCTTGCTGATTGTCAGTATTGATGTGGAGAGTGTCCACAAGGTTTGCCCACCTTGGAACATGCAACATATCATTGTCCTTCTTTAAGGGTCCCTTTCATATATATGATACTATATCTCTCTGTGTGTGAATCATATCTATCTATATCAATGGTTCTCAACCTGGGGTCCCCAGATGTTTTTGGCCTACAACTCCCAGAAATCTCAGCCAGTTTATCAGCTGTTAGGATTTCTGGGAGTTGTAGGCCAAAAACATCTGGGGAGCCCAGGTTGAGAACCACTGATCTATATCTATATCTATGGCTGGATGGCCCTTTGTCAGGAGAACTTTGATTATGTTTTCTTGCCCTGGTGAAGAGAGTTGGACTGGATGAACTTAAGTATTTTCTGTTGGGCATGGGGGTTCTGTGTGGAAAGTTTGCCCTGATTCTGTCATTTGTGGGTTCAGAATGCTCTTTGATTGTAGGTGAACTGTGAATCCCAGTGACTACAACTCTCAATTGTCAAGGTCTATTTCCCCCAAACTCCATATGTGTTCATATTTGGTGTATTGAGTGCTTGTGCCAAGTTTGGTCCAGATCCATCATTGTTTGAGTCCACAGTGCTCTCTGGATGTAGGTGAACTACAACTCCAAAACCCAAGGACAATGCCCACCAAACCCTTCCAATATTTTCTGTTGGTCATGGGAGTTCTGTGTGCCAAGTTTGGTTCAATTCCATCATTGATGGAGTTCAGAATGCTCTTTGATTGTAGGTGAACTATAAATCCCAGCAACTATAACTCCCAAATGACAAAATCATAATTTTTTTTGAGTGATGGTCACTCCTTGTGTTGTGAGACGTTTTGTTGCTAAATTTGGTGTGATTTCGTTCATTGGTTCTTTTTTTTAAGATACTCATTATGCACAGAGCATTTATATATATATATATATAGAGAGAGAGAGAGAGAGATATTCAGGTCTGAATTCAAAATTTAATTTTAATTTTTTGAGAGTGTTCTTGTATTTTTCCCCAGTTATTAACAAGTTTGCAAGCCCACCAAGAGTGGAAGAAAGTCCCAGTTCTTCCCCGCATTTCCAGCATTTGTTATTTTGGTTCTTATAATACCTTGCCAATTGCTGGGGTGTAAGATACCAACGGTAGAACATCTTAAGATACCAATGGTAGAACAGTAGAAATTTTGTAGTAATGTTGATGTTTTATAAGATGTTTTTCTGATAATGATGAATTGTGGGGTTTTTTTGCGCTATGTTTTGTAAATTGCACTTGTTTTTTTCATGTAGTACACCGCAATGAGTCGCCCTTAAAGGGCTGAGAATTGCGGTATATAAGCGCAGTAAATAAATAAATAAATAAATAAATAAATAAATAAATAAATCTTATACCAGCTTTCTATTATATTTGTTGATCTGGAGTATTTTATTTTAGTTGTCCATACTTTATCTTAGTCATCTAATAAAATAGAATGGCCAATATCAATCGCCCACTTTGACATGTTCTCTTTTATCAGTTCGGTTTCTGTGTTCCTGGTATAATATCCTTATTTTTTTTCTCTGATCATTATTAAGTCCCAAGTTGACTCTTGAGATACAAAATCATATTTCGAATTTCCTGGTAACTGTCCTTTGTCTGCATGTATTGGAACTAGGTCTCTCCAGGTTGTATTTCAGTCATTGTGATCCACTTTGGAGGGGCACTATGGGATCAAAAATGTTAAGTATAAATTCTCCTGTAAATCAGGTGCAGAAAATTGAGAATTCCTCAGAAAACATCTTAAATACCAGTTTGGAAAATTATAGCACTTCTGTTAGACCCTTGGGATACAAATAGAGAGTGGTTTGATATAGAGTTGGAAGTTATCCTTTTATATATAGAGACTCCCGTGATATAAAACAGCCAAGAGGTGACGGAAACAATGATTTACTGGGAGAAATAAGGCATCCCTTTATCTTGTGGGCTAATGGGAATTTCTCCTTTTGTGGTCCACATGCAATCCATTGATACTGTCCCCTTCCCAAAATGTAAGAGACTCTTCATCTTGATAGACAAAGGATTCATTCTCGGTGCGCAAAGTAGTCCTGAAACATGTAAAATAATGCAAAAATGCATGAAAACTTTCCTAATCTCAACCCAGCAGAGAGAAAACTTTTGAAATGATGTTTTGAACGAATCTGCCATCCCCACATTATCCACATTGTCTTGAATACAAGCTATTCTCAATTATAACCAGAACATGTTCTTTTCAGAACAGCCTCCCCTTACCTCTCCAGCACTTGCGAACCACATAGGAAATACTTTAGATCAGCCAGAAAGGAAATGCAAATTTATATTTTAATAGCTTCAGGTCTTTCTGTGCGACCCTTTATATATCTGTGATGCTCAGCAAGCTGGTTGGCGTCCTATTGAGCAACCTTCAGTCAAGAAGTTCTGCAGAAGGAGAATGTTCAACTTGATTAGTCAGTCTTTGAAAAAAAAGAATGAGCTGGAATCAATGAAGATGTATTGTGAAGTCAAATACTCAGCCAGAGGTCCCTCTCCCCACTTGATATATTTTTTTGATATATGAAAGCATTGGAGCGGCTTCAAAATATCTCCAGTCTC